CCCCCCAGGGTGGGCACGACCCCCCCCCAAAAACAGAGTGGGGCTGCTGGGGGCGGGGGGGCGCTGGCACCCTGGACTGGGCTGGACTGGGATGGACTGGGATGGACTGGGGGGGTCGGTGGGGCCTGCAGGGGGGGTCCGTCCTTCCTGAGCGTGGGGGGGTCTGGAGCCCCCCCCAGCAGGACCGAGCCCCCCCCGGGCACCGCTGGGGTTTGGGGGGGGCTGCTCTGCAATGGTGGGGGGGGGGGGGCACCCAAAGGTGCTGCTCCGGAGCCTCCGGACCTGGGGAGGGAAAATTGGGGGATGGGGAGGGGTTAAACAGAGTTTGGGGGGCACTCCCAGCACCCCCAGAACCCGGGGACACCCCAAATCCCAGTGGGGGACACCCCAAATCCCAGTGGGGGACATCCCAGCCTGGGGAGCTCCAGGATGTCCCAGGGGGTTCTGGAGGTCCCAGGGTGTCCAGTGGGGTCCTGGGGGTCTCAGGTGTGTCCCCAGGTGTCCCACGGCTGCCCCAGTGATGTCCCAGGTGTGTCCCCAGGTGTCCCACGGCTGCCCCAGTGATGTCCCAGGGCTGTCCCAGTGATGTCCTGGGGGTCCCAGGGGTGTCCCAGGTGTCCCAGGGCTGTCCCAGTGATGTCCCAGGTGTGTCCCCAGGTGTCCCCAGGTGTCCCAGTGATGTCCCAGGTGTGTCCCCAGGTGTCCCAGGGCTGTCCCGGGGGTGTCCCAGCTGTGTCCCCAGGTGTCCCCAGGTGTCCCAGCGATGTCCCGGGGGTCCCGGGGGTCCCGGGGGTCTCACCAGGCTCAGTAGGGCCGGTTGGCGTCTTTGGGCCTCTTGAGCTGCACCTTGAGCCGCTTCATCCCGATCTGGAAACCGTTCATGGCCTGGATGGCGGCCTGGGCGCTCGCGGGGTTGTCAAAGCTCACGAAGCCTGNAGCGTTGTCACAGTCTGGGAATTCCGGGATGGGATCGTTCCAATGCTGGAGCGTCTGATGGAACGTTCTGGAGTGTTGGAACATTCTGGAACTGGATCCCTCTGGTCATGGAGCATCCCAGACCTGGAGCATCCCAAACCTGGAGCATCCCAGTGTGGGGTATCCCGGTACTGCAGCGTTCCCATATCCGAGCATCCCGATGTGGGATTTTCCTGCTGTGGGATTTTCCTGCTGTGGGATTTCCTGTTGTGGGATTTCCTGTTGTGGGGTTTTCCTGCTGTGGGATTTTCCTGTTGTGGGGTTTTCCTGTTGTGGGATTTCCTGCTGTGGGGTTTTCCTGCTGTGGGATTTTCCTCCTGTGGGATTTTCCTGCTGTGGGGTTTTCCTGCTGTGGGATTTTCCTGCTGTGGGGTTTCCTGCTGTGGGGTTTTCCTGCTGTGGGACCATCCCGGTGCTGGAGCATTCCCATGCTGGAACATCCTGGTGTTGGATCATCCCAGTACCAGTCCATCCCAGTAATGGAGCATTCCAGTAGTGGACCAGTCCGTCCCAGTATCAGTTTATCCCGATGCCAGTCCATCCCAGTACCAGTTTATCCCAGTACCAGTTTATCCCAGTACCAATCCATCTCATTCTTAGCCCATCCCAGTGCCAGTCCATCCCAGTACCAATGGCAGTACTGGTCCATCCCAGAACCTGTTCATTCCAGTACCAGTCCATCCCAGTAATGGACCAGTCCATCCCAGTACCAGTCTAAACCCAGAACCAATCCATCCCAGTATCAGTTTATCACAATGCCAGTCCATCCCAGTACCAGTTTATCCCAGTAATGGAACATCCCAGTCCCAGCCCATCCCATTCCCAGTTTATCCCAGTCTCAGCCCATCCCATTCCCAGTTTATCCCAGTCCCAGCCCATCCTGAGGGGAAACTGAGGCAGGGTGGGGGTGGAGCGGGTGGCAGTGGCAGTGTTGGGGTCCCGCTGCACCCCCGGGGGGATTTTGGGGGGGGGAGGGGCCGTGTCCCCTCCTTTGGGACCCCCAGGGACCCCCCAAAGACCCCCAGGACCCCCCCGTGACCCCCCCGGTTTGGAGCTGCTTTTGGTCCTGTTTGCTGAGAAAAGCCCCAAGAAGGGTCCCGGGG